CCTGCCTCAGCCTCCTGAGTTGCTGGGGTTACTGGTGTGTGTCACTGCACCCAGAAAGTTTATATTTTTATTTTTTTAGGAATAGGGTCTTGCTATTTTGCCCAGGCTGACTTCAAACTCCTGGTCTCAAGCAATCCCCTTGCCTCAGCCTCTCAAGTAGCTGGGACTATAGGGGTTATTGGGTTTTGAGAAAGTTCTATAATGTACTTTTTTTTTTTTTCTTGTGGTACTGGGGATTGAACCCAGGGTCTCATGCCAGTCAGACAACTACTCTACCACCAAGCTATATCCCTAGCTCCCTCCTTCTCCTCCTCCTTCTCCTCCACCAAGCTATATCCCTAGCTCTCTTCCTCCTCCTCCTCCTCTACCACCAAGCTATATCCCTAGCTCACTCCTCCTCCTCTACCACCAAGCTATATCCCTAGCTCCCCCCTCCTCCTCCTCCTTTTTTTTTTTTTTTTTTTTTAAAGATATATAGGTATCTGCTGAAATACTTAAACTTGTATATCTCCTTGAACATATTCAGCAGTTATTTTAAAGTCTACACTTGAAGCTCCGGTATCTGCAGGCATGATGGGCCTCTGCACTGTCTGTTGTTTTTCTAGTTTTCTTACTATCTTGTCTCATATGCCTAGTTACATTTTGTTATATTCAGGATTATTGCATTAGTAAAATTTGCTTGTAGAAATAATTTGAGATTTAGAATTATATTTTCCTCCAGAGAGAATTTTTATTTGCTTATGCCATGGGTTTGGGGAAACTGACACTCTGGGAGCACCTTAATCTTCTTTCAAGGTTGATATGACTGGAAGTTGAGCAGCAATCCCTTATGGGAGTCTATTTCCCTCTTTCCATTCACCTTTTTTTTCTGAGTTGCAAAGGCTGATGGTCTCCACTGAAAGCAAGGGACTGTCCAGGCCTTTAACAAGTCCTGTCCATACTTTTGGAAAACTGTCAAAACACACTGATCTTGGGGTTGGGATGTAGCTCAGTGGTAGAGCACGTGTGAGAACCTGAGTTCCATACCAACACCTGCCCCAAACACAGATCAGCCTCTGAACAGCCTCCAAGTTTGAAAACTTTAAGCCCAGTTTCCAGGCCTCCATATCCTCAAGGTCCTGGTCTAATAGTATTTCAAAACCATGTTTGCTCTCTGATGTCTTCAAATAGATTGTTTCCAGTCTTTTGATTTTTTTCAAATTACTAAAAAAAAACTTTATTTACTATTTAGCTTTTTGACTCTGCTGGTGCGTTTGGCACTTGACAATTTTCTGTTCCTAGTCAGGGAAACCAAGCCTGAGCCTGTCACGCATTCAGCACACATGGAACCACCATAGAATTTGCTCAGGTGCTTTTTCATTTTAGACAATCCCTTAAAAGCTTGTGGGATCAACCCCTCTAAGTATATCTGGGCATGTTACATGTGCTTTCCCAGGCTTCTTGAGATAAAGCTAAACAATTCTATTACCAGGGGTGTGAGGAAGTCTAGTTATGTTAGAGAGCCTATGATGGCATGTCAAATCCTGCACCACACCAAGTGTTTATAGACACAATTCTTAGCATCAAGAGTTGAAGAGATTTTTTTTTCTTTTTTGTAGTACTGAGGACTGAACCCAGGGCCTCGAGCATGTAGGCAAATGTTCTACCTCTGAGATACACCCAGCTTTTTTTTAAATCTTGCGACAGGGTTTTGCTATATTGCTAATGATGACCTCAAACTTGCAGGTTTCCTACCTCTTAGGATTATAGGCATGAGCCACTGTGCTTGGCCTTAAGCAATTTTAAAAATATTTTTCCAGGCTATCTAGTTACCCCCCATCGGGATAGTCAATCTAAATTACCTATCTACCATTACCAGGAGCTTAAGTCCTCATAATTTTTGTGTTAGTTATTTGAATGGTCTTTTACAATATGCAAAATGTTAGTACACCACTGTCCTTTTTTGTGTTTAAAAAACATAATTTTTTTTTTCTTTTGTATTGGGGATTGAACTCGGGCACTGGACCACTGAGCCATATCCCCAGCCCTATTTTGTATTTTGTTTAGAGACAGGGTCTCACTGAGTTGCTTAGAACCTTGCTTTTGCTGAGGCTGGCTTTAAACTCGTGATCCTTCTGCCTCAGCCTCCTGAACCACTGGGATTACAGGTATGTGCCACTGAATCCGGCTACTAAAAAACATAATTTTTATAGAAACAATTAGGCCCTTGCACAATTACTCTCACCAACAAGAACTGTGTGTGGTTTCTGTCTTGGTGTTGGGTTGGAACCCAGGGCCTTGGACATGCTAAGCATGGAGCACTATCAATGAGCTCCAACCCTGCTCTTGAATTGCAGGTTTCTATACTCATGGCAATAAGCATGGGTTACCTCTTGGGTACTCTTGGCAAACATTATGAGAAGTGGAATTGCAGGGCGTACACTGCTCCTCCAGCAGTATAAAAGAGCACTCAGTTTCTGACCTGTATTAACACTGGGTTAACTGATTCACAAGTGTTTATGGAGAATCTATTGCGTATGATATAACAGATACTGATTAGTTAGGTAGTTGTGAGACCTCAAGCTAAACCCTAGAGTTCACATTTTAGCTCTCTTTTGCTTTTCCAAGTTACGTATTCTTCCCAAATAGGTTTTTTTTTTTTTTTTTTGCGGGGGGGTGAGGTGCTAGAAATTGAACCTAAGCCCTCACATTTGCTTGGCCAACTTTCTACCACTGAACTACATTCCCAGCCCTCTTCCCAAGTATGGACAGAACTCTAATTTCCACTGTTTAAATTCTTTTATTTTTTTCAAATCAAACTGAAAAGGTAGAATAGTCAACTCAATATTTTTGGTTACTAGTGCAACAATGTTTGGCAATTCTAAAAACAGGAAAAACAAGTAACAAATAAATGTATAAAATTTTCATTAGAAGTAAAATGCAAATAAAAACAATATACTATTTTTTTCTATCAAAGTGGCAAAACATTTTTTTAATGATAATAAATACCCAGTGTTCGTAAGGGTCAGAAAGTGAGTGCTCTTTTATTCTGCCGGAAGAGGGTAAATTAGCACAGCTTTTTGAGGAACAGGTGTCAAAACAGCAAAGCCTTGGAAATGTGCACACCCTGCAATTCCACTTCTCATAATGCCAAGGAAATAATTATGAGTGTGGATCCAAACTGAGTGTGGTGGTGCACGCCTGTAATCCCAGATATTTGGGAGGTGAGGGCAGCTTGGACAGTCTAGCGAGACCAAGCTCAAATTAAAATAATAAAAGGTCAGATGTAGCTCAATGGTAGAGCCCTTGCCTACCAGGTGTGAGGCCTTGGTTTCAATCCCCAGTACTGCCAAAAACAAATTTAAAAAAATGTGGGATATAGAATTATATCATCAATTATAAAAAACTGCAGGCAACCTAATAGTGGGTTATAGAAATAAATTATAGTGAAGTGATACAATAGAATATAATAATAATAATAATGGTGTACATGGATGGGTAGCTACTGATAAGGGAAGATATTCACCCTTTTATTATTTTGCAGTGCTGGGGACTGTACCCAAGTACTCTACCATGGAGCTACATCCCCAACCCCTTCACTCTATATTATTAAACAACAACAAAAAGCAAGTTATAAAAGAGTACAGTATGAACTCACATTTCTTTTAAAAACTGTACATGTAATAAATACATATAAAAACAATGAGAAGGATATGTATATCCTTGGAATTATCATTGGTAATCTCTGGATGGTAGAAGTCTGAATTAACTGAAAAAAAATTATACCCATTTTAAAATTTTATTTTAACAAACATATACTGTTTTTTTGCAATTAAAAAAAAGAAAAGTTAAAGGCTAATTTTAAAAAATGCTGAGCTTAGGTTTTGACTTGTGATGTGAACGGCCCCATGTCCCTAGGGGCAATTATTTGGTTTTGTTCCTCTGACATGAGTGGGTAATTCTCATTTGTTCATGAAATCTCATAATAATGGACATTTGACCATATGTCAGGAAAAGTTCTCTGTTTCTACTGGAGCTCATTCAAGCTGACTGGGGAAGGAAGCCACCTTTCTAAGCAAGTAGGTTAGTTGCAAAACTATGCTCAAGGCCTGTACTTTAGTGGGGAAGTCCTTAGAAAGTTCTGGAATGAAGGGAGAAAGAAGCAACAGATGCAAAGGAAGGGACTTAGTCCTAATTTCAATGTTAGGCCTCTGGAGGTGGGGTCGCTCGGAGGACACCTAATATTTAGTCATACAGATCCCTTTAAGAAAGTAAGTCATTTCAGAAAAGAAAGGACAGAATATTTGCAAATCATGGTGAATACTTAAGCTTGCTAGTATCAAACACAGCAACCCCATAGCAATAGAAGAGGCATATTGGTGGGAAAAATCTGTATTCTGGATTGGTAGGGAGATTCTTTTGAATCAAAACTCTGAGGAACACACTGAGCATGTCTGGTAAATCATGATGCTATCTATTATAGAAGTCTGTCCTAAGAACAAGGGAATAAAGTTACCTGTCCAGAGGAGATAGGCAAAGGCCTTTCCCTCATATATCCCATATCCTCCAGTCTCCAGGAGAGGCTGGTTAACTGTCAAGCTTGTTTCCCTTGGGTGGCTCAGATGGGGTAGACAGTCTGAGGCTAATGTACAGGATGTAGGTATGAGGAGCCAATAAAAGGAGAAACCCCATTAACTTTTGAAGGAAAGAGGGGCCACATCCATCTTTGCAATAAAATACCAGTGTCCACCCAGAGCAAAGATTCTCAAACATGATATTAGAGATGTACCCAAAGTAATGTGTTTCTCATTATTGATTTAAATACTGAAGTCTGTAAATGTTTTACTTTTAGAAATAATAAATTAATGTAGATAACAAGGTTAGCCACAAAGCAGTATGTCTCAGATATGTGTATGCCTTTTTTTTTTTTTGGAGGGGGTACTGGGGATTGAACTCAAGGACACACAACCACTGAGCCACATACCCAGCCCTATTTTGAATTTTATTTAGAGTCAGGGTCTCACTGAGTTGCTTAGTGCCTCACCATTGCTGAGGCTGGCTTTGAACCCTTGATCCTCCTACCTCAGCCTCCCGAGATGTTGGGATTACAGTCGTAATCTGTGCCCAGCACGCATATGCTTTCTTTCTTTTTTTGTGTGGTGCTGGGGATTGAACCACTGGCCTTGTGCATGCGAGGCAAGCACTCTACCTACTAAGCTATGTCCCCAGCCCCCGTATGCTTTCCTGAATGAGAGAAAAAGATGGAGTTTCAACTATCAGCACATGAGCATCTTTTGTCATGTCATGGCTAAAAAGTTGAATACTGCTCTTCTAGAGCAAGAAAAAAACAAAAGCAAGTCCTGGGTAAAAGAGAGCCTCAGCAGAGCGCCAGGGATGAGACTAGATTTGTGGAGGTATGACAGTGTCTTAAAACGAGGGGAAAGGGGGATCAGGACGCGTTATGCATGTGGACCTGGCCCGAGGCATGCAGGGGGCGCGGAGGAAGGAGGCCTGGCCCTGTGCGTGCTCCAGTGGAGGTGTTGGTGCTTGCCGCTTGTATTAGTACAGAGAAGGCAGCACAGGAGTTACAAAGGTCCAACTCCAGTTCTTGTGGGGAGAGCTTTTATAGTTGGGGTGGATCTGAGTCCCCATCCCCTCAGTTACTCATGGGAAACCCGTTCCAAGGCCACATAGAAACTGTTCTTGTCATCGAGGCAATGCCAGCCAATGGGTCCAATTTCACAGTCTGCGCAGACCAGAAACTTGATGTTGCCCACATCCTTGGTGAAGCCCACATTCTCAAAGATGAACATGTCATCCACCAGCCAGTGCTCCTGGAGGAGATCGCCTTCAGGGTTGCTGCTATCAGCCAGAGCTGGCTTCTTTCTCATGGAGGGAAGGAAAAGCTGCAGTGGAAGAGAACATAAGGAACATACAAGCTGAACTGGCCCAGTCACATTGTCACCCTCATTCTCTTTACACTTTGCTCCTAGCAGCTTTCTGAAAGGGGGGAAAAATGAGGAGCCCTTTCCTCAGGATATAGACTGGAATGCTGAGTGGCTCTTCTGGGTCTAAAGAGAGATGGAAGAGAAGCTCGGCTGGTGGCTTCCCTGCTGCACTGACTGATGTGGGGCTTTCAAAGCCCCACATGGCCCCAGGCTCTCCCTGGCTCACTGTGCTCCAGGCACACTGGCCTTGCTTCCTGCACTAGCACAAGTCTGCTCTGCCCTCAGAGCTGGGCATGGCCGGCACCTTCTTTTTTAAAAATATTTTTCTAGTTATACATGGACACAATATCTTTATTTTGTTTATTTTTATGTGGTGCTGAGGATCCAACCCAGTGCCCCACCATGTGCGAGGCAAGTGCTCTGCCGCTGAGCCACAACCCCAGCCTGGCCAGTACCTTCTTGGTATTCAGCTCAAATATAACCTCAGGAAGTCTTCTCTAACCAGCCTGAATTAGCTTTCTATACTGCCCACTGCATTTTTTTTTTTCCAAAAAGAAAGTTTGATTGAAGTATAAGTATGAACAATTCATAAACTACACATATTTAAAGTATACAGTTTGATACATTTCAGCACATTTATGCACCGGTGACACTGTTACCATAATTAAGATACTAATACATTCATTACTCGTAGCAGTTTCCTCATGCTGCTTCCACTTTTTTTTGTTAGTATTTTCTGATTGATTATCATCATCATTAATATTTTTGGTATTGGGAACTGAAACTAGGGGCCCTTTACCACTGAGCTACATCCTCAGCCTTTTAAATTTTGAGACAGAGCCTCATAAATTGCTGAGGGTGGCCTTGAACTTGTGATCTTCCTGCCTCAGTCTTCTGACTTGCTGGAACTACAGTCATGCACCACTGTGCCCAGCTGCACGCGACTGTTTTAACTTCCTCCACAAGAGCAGTTTATAATACTTTAGCTGCATCCAGAATGCTGAAAGACACAATGCCCCTCTGCTTCTCATTATTATTGCTGTTATCTTACTTTCTTCTCACCTCACAATATATTTCTAATGCGTTTCCAAACTGCAATACTATAGGATGGCCTTGGTGTGCTAGTCTGGCACTGGAAATCAGCATGTATTAATACACTGGAGGTAGCAGAATTGAAACCTGGGCCACATTGTAGTGTGTAGAGGATCCCTGAGGGGTGGGAGGGAGCCCTGATCCAGAACATGTCTACTCCACATCCTTTAAGCATCTAGCTTATTAATATTATTATTTGTGGTGCTGGGGATTTAACCCAGGGGTGCTCTGTCACTGAGCTACAACCCCAGCCTTTTTTTTGAGACAGGGTCTTCCTAAGTTGCTGGGGCTAGCTTCAAACTTGTGATCCTCCTGCCTCTGCCTCCTGAGCAGCTGGGATTACAGGCTTGTGCCTCCATGCCCAGCCAGGCATTTGGCTTATTAAAACATATCTCTACTACCCTTTGCTTTGTGACCTGAGATGTCATCTGAAGATGTTAAAAATATGAAATTTTTCCTCCTTCTGCTACATTGTCATTTCAGTCCGTCTTTGCTTCATCTGATAGTTAAATGTGTCCCCAATGCTTTGTCTTACCCTAAACGAAAATGAGAACAGCAGAGACTTAAATATTTAAGAGTTGGGAATCAAAATTCAGGAACCAAGACACTTGAATTCCAGACCTTTCTGTGGGCGTGAATTTCCAAAAAAATATTACTGGTCTGTCCTCTGTCTTGCAGGTGTGAAGTCACACCAGAAGCAGAATAACTAGTTAAGACATTTGGTAACTAGTTAAGATATTCAACCAAGAATTCAGTGTGTCCAACAAAACAGAGTGCTTAAACCAACTGTCTTTAGGAGGTGCCCAGCAAAGGGGTACCAGCTTCCCTCTCCTGTTCCCGATTATAGTGCAAAGCGTACATCTGCAGTGTCTCCTCTGGTAGCCACGAAGACCTAAGACACTGCTGTTATTAACTGTCATTCATGGCATCATTTTGGGTTCTGTTCCATACACTCCTCAACACTCCTGTTTTTATTTAGCTCCTATAAGCCAGATCCACATGTAGTAAGACTACACCTTCGAATGCAGACGTACGTGCACGTCTGTGCCTGGACCTCAACCTATTCATCCCAAGGCCAAGAAAAACTCTAGGGCCAGGTGACTGGCTATGACATCTGGAATAAAATAAGGCTTTCTGGAAAGACTGTTGGGGTGAAAATAAAAAAAAAAATTCATATCAGGGGCTGGGGTTGCAACTCAGTGGTAGAGCACTTGCCTAGCATGTGTGAAGCAGAGTTCAATTCTCAGCACTGTATATAAATAAATAAAATAAAGGTCCATTGACAATTTAAAAAAAAATTCATATCAGATTTAAAGCAGGTATCTCAGCTGGTGACCAAGGTTGCCAGTGATATCCTGGCCAGGTAGGTTATCTTCGTTATCAGTACTACAGCTAGTTAGTTAGTATCCCTACTCCTGGACAGCTTCTTCAGGAATAGATAGAACACCACAACCCAGTGAGCTTCTGTTGATGCACTGTTCACATTTCCCTTTTAAAAATAAAACAGCTCCTCTCATTGTAAAAATACATTCTCATACAAAACTTGGCAAGCATGCTACAGTTTGAATGAGAATAAAAACTGTTATAATGCAGAGTAAACTTCTGTTAACTTTGTGGTAATTATCTCCCTTCTGTGAAAACTTGTGGTTTAAACATATCTATAAATTCTTTGATAATTCTCTGCTAGGAGGTGGAGCATGGACAGGCCAAGATGACTGCCTTGGCTATAAGGCAGTGAAAGTGCCAGGCTAGCTTAAAAAGGGCATGCAACTTGTGTTTCTCTTGGGATACTTGCTCTGAGGGCCTTCAGCCATTAAATTAGAAGTGAGATTACTGGGCTTGGTGGTGCATGCCTGTAATTCCAGCAATTTACGAAGCTGAGGCATAAGGGTTGCAAGTTCAAGACCAGCCTAGGCAATTTATTTATTTTTAAAATAATTTTTTAAATTGTAGATGGACACAATATCTTTATTTGTTTATTTTTATGTGGTGCTTGGGATCAAACCCAGGGTCTCACGCATGCAAGGTGAGTGCTCTACCACTGAGCTACAGCCTTAGCCCCAGCCTAGGCAATTTAGCAAGACCCTGACTCAAAATAAAAAAGGGCTGGGATTGTGTAGCTCAGTGGTAAAGCGACCCTGGGTTCAATCCACAGCACTGAAGGAAAAAAAAAAAAGGTAAGTGAAAATAAATAATAATTAAAAAAAAACAACCCAGAAATTCCATGTACTTTTTACCCGGTTCCCCCTAAAGGTAACAGTTTGCAAAACTGCATAATATCCCAATCAGCATATAAACACAGATATAGTCCATAGATTTAATTATTCAGATGACACCAGTTACTTCTCATTTGTACACTTGTGTATTTAGTTCTTTTGTTTTTTTCCCCTTCCCATTACTGGGGATTGAACCCAGGGCTGCTCTACCACTGAGCTACATCCCCAGCCCTTTTTAATTTTGAGACAGGGGGTCGCTAAGCTGCCCAGCCCAGGCTGGCATCAACTGTGATCCTGCCTCAGCCTCTCGGGTAGCTAGTGCCACCATGCTCAGCATGGGCATATTTATCTATACCATTTTATCACATGTAAGTTTGTATATCCACTGTCGCAGTAAGACAGTGAATAGTTCCACTGCCTCAAGGACCCTCACACTGCTCTTTTATAATCACACTCAGTGTACCCCTACCCCATTTCTTATCCCTTGGCAACCACTACCCTGTCTTTTGCTTATGAAAAATTTTGTCATTTTGAAAATGTTATGTAAAAGGAAGCATACAATATGTAATCTTTTAAGATTTCTTCCTTCTTCTTTCTTCTTTCCTCCCTTCCTCCCTTTTTTCTCTTTTCCCTCCCTTCCCCCTTCCCCTTCCCCTCATAATGGGGATTGAACCCAGGGGCACTTAACCACTGAGCCACATCTTTAGACCTTCTTAATTATTTTTAGAGACAGGGTCTCATTGAGTTGCTTAGAGCATCACTAAATTGCCTCAGCCTCCTGAGCTGCTGGGATTACAGGTATATACCACCATGCGTGGCATGAGTCTTTCTTTTGATTCATATCCTATCCACTTCATGGGTGTCCACCCCCATGGCTCCCTCCTCACCTCCATTCTAATTACCTTAATTCCACTTCAGCCTCATTTCCTGCCACCATTCCACCCTAGGACTGGGAACTGAACCCAGGGGCACTCTACCACTGGGCCATACCTCCAGCCCTATTTTGTATTTTATTTAGAGACAGGGTCTCACTGAGTTGCTTAGTGCCTCACTTTTGCTGAGGCTAGCTTTGAACTCTCGATCCTCCTGCCTTGGCCTCCGGAGCCACTGGGATTACAGGCGTGTGCCACTACACCCAGCTCCCCAGCCCTGTTTGAGACAAGTCTCATTAAGTTGCTGAGGCTGGTCTTGAACTTGTGATTTTCCTTCTGCAGTGCCCTGGGGATTGTAAGCATTTGCCATTGTGCCTGGTTTCTGTCACTTTTATCAGACTATGTTCAGTTCTTCAGATGTACTATACTTTCTCTCAGCTATGAAATGCTTTTCATCCTGACTCTACTCAGCTTAATTATAATTTCCTCCACTAAAAACTTTAGGAAAGGCTATGATAAATATAGGTTCCCTAAACCAAAAATCTGATCTGAAATGCTCCACTATCTGAAGCTTTTTGAGCATCAACATGATGCCACAAGTGGAAAATTCCACAGCTGGCCTCATTTGATGGGTCATAGTCAAAACACAGGTACTAAAATACTGCATAAAATTACCTTTAGGCTATGTGGAAAGGTGTATATTAAACAAAAGAATTTCATGTTTAAACTTGGGTCTCATCACCAAGATATCTCATTATGTATTTGCAAATATTTCCAAATCCAAAAAATCTGAAGTCTAAAACACTCCTAGGATGGGGATGTATCTCAGTGGTAGAGCTCCTGCCTAGCAAGCAAGAGGCTGAGTTTCATAGCTAGCAATGCAAAAGATAAAAAAATAAAACACTCCTATTCCCCTGCATTTTGGAAAAGGACTAGTCAACTTAGTCCTTTTCAAGGATAGGGATATTTTATTTGTGAAACCAATTCTATGAATAAAAAGAACATAAATCACATGCTACATAAATAGTGCAGTTTTGGTGCTGGCTAAACATACTGATCCACTATATCCAAACTAACACATTATTTAGCTGGACTCATAGCTTTTAATTCATTAATTTATTTAAATCCAAACATTCCTAGGTTCTAACTGATGTGCACAGTCTAGTTGTACAAGATGTAGAGACATGAACCTCATTGTCTAGTGTATAAACAGCAAACAATACAAATATTTTAATAAGGTCAACTGAGATGATAGATGTGAGAGTGCTTTCCAGTCTGTAGGCCAGGATTTCTCAATGTTGGAACTACTGACATTTTGAACTAAAGATTTCTTTGCTCTGGGAACAGGCCTGGGGTTACAGGATGCTAAGTAGCATCTCTGGCTTTTACCTGCTAGATGCCAGTAGCACCCCTCCCCAATTTGGACAACCAAAAAAATCTCTAGACATGTCTCTAGATTTTTCCCTTTGAGGGACATAACTATGGAAACATTGCTTTAGACTAAAGAACTATGGAATATGAGATGCAGTAATCACTGAACCCTAGATCTTTTTTTTTCTCCCTCAAGGTTTCTAAAGCTTTACAGGGTTTCAGTTAGGGAGTGCAGTGCCCTTCAAGTTGCAAATTGTTCTCTATAAGGGCAAGGACTTTTTTCTTCTTCCCTGAAATATATAACTCATAATAGGTGAAGAAGTAATAACTGGTTAGAAATCTTCCACGAGATCTCAACTTCCTGTTCACATCATATCCTAGAATTTATGTTATTTGTGGAAAGAAAGGAGTACTGAAAAATAGTACTAAAATCAAGAGGAGATCTGGGTTGGATCAGAGTAGGGCTGCTAGAGTCTGGGGAAAGCATAATATTCTTCCAATAGCCTTTTTCAAGAAATAGGAAATTTCCAGAAACTCTGAAGCAATGGTAAAACACAAACTAAATAGACAAAAACAAAAGACCAAAACAAACAACCCTATCTCTTTATGTCTTTTAAAAAGAGGGAGGTGGCACATGCTTGTAATTCCAGTGACCTAGGAGGTTGAGGCAGGAGGATTGCAAGTTCAAGGCTCACCTGGGTAACTTAGTAAGACCCTATTTCCAAAAAAAGAGACCAGCAATGTACCTCATTGGTAAAGTACTCCTGGGTTTAATCCCCAGGCACCCCAAAATAAAATAAGGGAAAAATATTAGCCAGGTGTGGTGGTGTACACCTGTAATACCAATCTACTCAGGAGGCTGAGGCAAAAGGATTGAAAATTCAAAGCCAGGGAGACCCTGATTCAAAATAAAAAATAAAATGGGTTGGAGATGTAGCTCAGTAGTAGAGTCCCTCTGGGTTCAATCCCTAGTACTGCAGGGGAAAACATAAAAATAAAAAAGAGAAGAGAAAGAGGGGTGGTGGAGGTGAGCATTACACCTAAAAAACAATTCTTATGCTCCTTTCTAGAACAGCAGCCACTCTGTGTGAAAAAGAAATGTAACATGCATAATGTAATTTGCTTACACAATGTTTGGCAACACTAGTTTACAATAATATATATCAAACAAAAAAATAATTTAAACATAAAATTACCCAAGAATTTTATAAAAAATATTTTAAATTGTAGATGGACACAACACCTTTGTTTTCATGTGGTGCTGAGAATCAAACCCAATGCCTCACACATGGGAGGCAAGCACTACCAATGAGCTACAACCCCAGCCTACCTAAAGGAAATTTTTTTTTTTCCATATTGGGGATTTAGCTCAGGGGCACTCAACCACTGAGCCACATCCTCAGCCTTATTTTGTATTTTATTTAGAGACAGGATCTCTCTGAGTTGCTTAGTGCCTCACTTTTGCTGAGACTGGCTTTGAACTCATGATCCTCCTGTCTCAGCCTCCCAAGCTACTAGGATTACAGGCATGTGCCATCACGCCCAGCGGGAATTTCTTAATGTCTGCTTATAAAAGTAGACAACTTTCATAGCATGAGAACTGGATATGAATACAGTATGTACTATCTATGAGGTAACTTGCTAATGCTTTCACACAAATTCTTCCCTACATCATCTTCATTTTTCAGCCCAGAAATCTTAAGTTCATGGTTTTGTTTTTTTTTAAGTTGTAGATATACACAATATCTTTATTTTATTTATTTTTAATTTTATTTATTGGTATGTGGTGCTGAGGATAGAACCCAGTGCCTCATACGTGCCACATGAGCACTCTGCCACTGAGCCGACCCCAGCCCTTTATTTATTTTTATGTGCTGAGGATCAAATGCAGTGCCTCACATATGCCAGGCAAGCGATCTACCAATGAGCTACAACCCCAGCCCCTCATGGCAATGTTTATGAATGGTAAGGTCAGGATTTAATTTTGAGACCCATGATCTTTCCACCTCTCTGTGATACTACTAACTTGGTAAAATAAGCCGAGAACTCTACTTCCAATCCTTGGGAGTCTTCCCAAGAGAGCAGGTGGGACTCCAACCTCTCTAGAGGGGAAGTCATCTAACTCCCACAGAATAAGGGGGGCGGTGTGATTCCTTTTTTACTTCTCTTATGAAAAAAGGCAGTCTCTGCTTTGGAGGAAAAGGGGCTTCTTGCTCCTATACTGAAAACTGCACTTTACAATCAGTTCAACTGCATGAAATAATAAGTTGGTCTATGTTATTTTTTAAAAATCATTTGGAATGATAGGATATCATGTGGTTGAAATGAAATTATACTCCTGCACTTTCCTAAGGGTATGTTACATTTTAATAAAAAGTTTACCAAAATAAACAAAAAAATGTATCGACTTTCTCATTTGGAGTGACGGTGGTACGATGGGTATTAAAAGTCCTAATCTGAAGAAAAATTATTTGTTTTCCTTCGAAATTTATTTCCAGAATTTCTGATATCTATCTCACATGAAATGATTCGTCTCAAAACTGGCTTGTAGTGCCTTGGAAAATCGTGTACCAGGAATTATTCTGCGTATCCCTACACCAAAGTTGTATCTGGAGCTCCAGATACAGTGAAGTAAGGATCCGGGCGACAACAGATCGACGACTGAAATATGCACCTGCGGGTCTCACAGGTTGGCCAGAGCTCCTGGAAGCAGCGAGCTGGTGCGAGAAGTGCGAACTCCTCGCACTAGCACGCGGAAACCTCCCTGGGCTCATAGGGGCATATTGCCCGCGCTCGGGAGGGACGCCTGGGGGAGGCTGGCGCAGAGGAAGCTCTCCTGCAGCAGGATCTGGGAAGGTCCTTCCACCCAAAGGCTTCACCGGTCCCGGGGCAGCGGCCCACGCAGCTTCCGCGGACACGGCCGCAGGGGCGGAGCCTCGCCGACAGGAGCCAGTGGGGCGGGACCTCGAGCCGAGGGGCGGGGCTTAAGAACGGCGCGAGGAGGGGCGCGGTCTCCGGAAATCCAAGAGCCGGGACTCAGACTGCTTCGGCCCGTGGAAGACTGCAATGGAAGCGGCCTCTAACCTGCCTTCCTACCTGTCGACGGGAGAAGAGAGCGGTCCCTGGCTGCAGCACGCGAGAGCCACAACGTTGGCACAGCACCGCCTTCCGGTTTCGGCCCTCGGCTGACACCAACTCGTTTGGGGGCTCCGCTGGCTCCATCGCCGCTGCCGCCACAGCCTCCCCGGCCACGACCACGCAGGCGCTGCTTCTGCTCGCTGGCTCTTGACTGCGCTGGCGCGGCTCGGCAGAGGCGGGGCGCGAGCGCACGATCACCCCCTCTGCGCAGGCGTCCGCTTCCACCGCGCTGTAACCTGCTGCGCAAGCGCCCTCATTCATTGCCCAGCCCGGGTGGCTGTCAGCATGGCTTTGTGACAGAGGCACCTCCTGTGACCATTGTCAAAACCTTACTCCGCATACCCACCCGGTGACCAGGCTCCCTTTAGTATTTAGATCTAGACAAAGCATTAAGGATGGCCTTACCCTTCAGTTTTCTGCGATTGTAAGCGTCTTGCGAATGGATGGGGATATTATTGGGAGGAAATTTGGGTCGAATTCCCCCTTCAGCAAGGTCTAACCATGTTATCTTTTCTTGTAGGAAGCAACTTAAGAGGGATGAATGCCTTTTTGGTGTTGGAAAAGATGCGTGGACGTTTTTGTTACTCTCTGGTCTAATAATAGTGACTACTAGGCAGCAAAGCAACGTGCTTTAGTGGGTTTTGTAACTTGTTAAATCATTGCAGTTTCCTTATGGGGTTGGCACACGAGGAAGGCAAAGATCAGAAATTTCTTTCCAGAGTCCATAGAATGCAGCTCTAAAATCGCTATTCTTATTATACTATATCACCTCAATTATTAGTCTTTACATCTCCAATTTAGTAGTTGCATCTTAGTTACATCTCAGTACATTCTAGTACAATAGGTAACGTTTACTGAAATGGTCAGGGAGAACAAAGTAATCTGCCCACCATCTCCTGCTGTTTTCTGCTGCTTCTTTCATTAGTTCCATTTTTAGTAATAATATACCAGACATGATGCTGCACCCTGAGGTACAATTAGGATCTCTGTATACGTGAATATAACCTGAACAGGAAGACACTTGAACCCAATAGCATGTAATAAAAAACATTAAGGAGCAAACTACTGTAAATGGACTGGGGAATACTTTTGTCTGGGGAGTTGAAAGGGCTTTACCTAGGTGACCTTTTAACTAGGCATTAAGAGGCGACTAGGATTATCAGGAAAGCAAGATTTAGAGGGAAAAGTATAATCCACGAACCAGGGTTTGAGCAAATTTAGGAATGGTAAATAGACCAGTGAAAGAAGCACATTATCCCTGGGAGAAGGTAGAATGGGACTAGATCTCATGGGTCTAATGTCATACTAAGGAATTTTAACTTTAAAATATAGGTAATGGAAATCTATGGAATTTTAGGCTGGAAATAACCACAATATATACCAATAATCTCTTATATGTTAAGTACTGTAATGATTATATCTGAGCTTCACAAAATAAAGGAATCGGATAACAGAGGAAAATAGTAGTAGTAAGGACATTAGGAGATTATTACCTCATGAATCCAGCATAAAGGCCCGAGCTGTCTGGTAGAAGAGAATGAAGATATGGGAATGGATCTAAAACTAAGAAATGTAAGAACTTAGAAACTAACTGGGTATCTACTGTGATGACAGACAAGAGAAAGCTTTCCTTAGCTAAGTAAGTAGGTAACTGACTACCAATTATAGGAGCTAGAATAACGAGGAACCACCAAATTAGGGAGATCTTTGTGTACAAGTGAGAAAATGTGAAGGTGTGTAAAATTGGGGAATAAAGTAGAAAAGGAGCAGTGAGTTTTACATGTTGATTTCCTGTAGAACATTCAGCTGCGGCTTCATGTTTTACATGAATTTGGTGGCTTCATGTATTTATGAATTTGGCCTGAATTCAGGAATTGGTACTAGAGCCATCAGTCCTATACCTCCATTTCTGCCTCACCTGCAATTTCCCCTTAATCTCTTCCTGAGATAAGATGAGCCAGGTTTCACAGGTTGTGGTTAGCAGGCACAAACCCAGAAACAAAAACAAAAACCCCAAAGATCAAACAAAACAAAAAAGCAATAATAAAAACAAAAATTACAATGTGTCAATCCATATGATAAAGAAAGGCTGGCAGGCCTCTGTAGTGAAAATGATTTCCTTTTATGCACTTCCTTTTGCTCTGAGAACATCCAAATTTTTGCAGTTTCGCAGGCCTTCTGCATAGCTGTTTACATCATGTGCAATAAATTGAAGTAAACAGAAAAAGGACTGGGGTGGGAGGGTATGGTGGTACACATCTGTACCCAGTTACTTGGTAGGCTGAGGCAGAATCTCAAATTTGAGGCCAGCCTGGGGAAAATGGCAAGATCTTGTCTCAGTATCAAATAAAAAGGGCTGGGGATGTAGTTCAGTGGTAGAGTGCTTGCCTAGCATGCATGAGGCTCTGGTTCAATTCCCAGTATGTCAAAAACAAACAAAAACCTATCACAACAAAGGACTGGGGTGACTGAAAAATTCAAGTGGGTGCTAAATAAGTTCCCCTCTTTATTTCCTTTGGTTTCAAGTAAACTCCAGGTGGGAGAGGGGCCAATGAATACGACAAATTCAGATTAACATTGAACAGTTTGGAGAACCTCCAAACTGTGGCCAAAGTGCTATCTCTTACCCTTGTCTAACAAAAATAGCAGAGCTAGTTGGCACACACACAGTGAACAGATAGAGACAGGACCTACAGCTGATCTGTATGCCTATTCCTTAAAATGTCTGAAGGCAGAGCTCATTAGCAACAAACATGTATGTATATGTGTGTGTGTGGTGCTGGGGATGGAACCCAGAGTTCATGTATGACAGGTAAGTGTTCTGCCACGGAGCTATATCCCCTGCCCACACAAACTCTCTTAAAGGCATTTGAGACAGTTGACTTTTTTATTTTCTTAAAAAAATACAAAGGAAATTAATTCTGTAGGTCAATACAACTCAGAAAGAGGAAAAAGTGGAATTCCAGAGCAAAGGGAAAGTGCATCCTTGTTTTAAGTTATCACATTCCCACACTCCTATACCCATAATCAACAACTTTATGACACAGAAGAGGTCTGAATGGTAGCTCAGAAATGGTGAGAGCAGAGGTACTGGAACTAACAAGAATTTTGGTTGTTCTTGATTATTCTGTCCTGGGATGAATAAAATTCACTCGAAAGACAGGTAAGGGAAACTTATAGCAGGAAGAAGACTAAATGTACCAAACACAGCAGTAAAAAACACTTCTTAGCAGAAGTGTGCTCTTAAAAGAACGGGGCAGTAATCAGGTAGTTAAACTACCAGGTTGCTGCCACCCCCCACCCCATCCCCAAATAAATAGCGTAATAGTGTAGTAGTATTTGATTCAACAAAGAAAGTCTTTCACCCTTTCAAGATAAACATTGCCATGGCTACAAGAGCCCTGGCAGGGAATAAGATGATTGTAAAATCACAGGTACTTCTAGTTTATCCCCAGGTATATTTAAGCCATCTCCTCTCATTCCAACATTTGTTCATTCTGTATTCTCTCAGTCTCCAGTTCCAAGATGTACAGCACTTTACTTTTAGAAAGAACTTGGGGTAATAAAAAGATCTTTCAAATAATATATCCTTCTCAGTCTTCTAGGTTATATTTAGTGGTAGTGTAGGTTAACTCACATCCCATCAAACTCAGTTCATGTCACTTATTCTAACCTCAGTTTGGATATACCAAACCTTTTCCCCTAAGGGATGTCACACAGAACTCTTCCCTTGGCCCCCAAAGTTTTGATAGGGCTCTCCCTTTTGTTTTTTTTCTGAATGGAACTGTGGAGTCCTCAGCTCTTTGTAGATTAGAAAAGGTATTTGTTCCCGGGTGGGGGCAGGAGGGACTTGGACTTGGACTTGGATTTTACCAAGCTTACTCAAGCTGGAATCCCTCCAATCATTTAGACTGGGTACTGTCTATATGTAGAGGCCATACCCACCTTAGTTCTCTGCAATGTAAGAGGCAGAACACACACACACACACACACACACACACACACTCCCAAGCACATGGTTAAGAAAGAAATAATAAGAAAGTGCTCCCCAGACCAGAGGGAGAGGCTATCTGGTCTCACATCCATTCACTGTGCATTCTCTTCCCTTGGGTACCTGTTTCACACCCTTGTGTGGGATATTACCAGCGCGAGGGGGAGTGTGGTCAAATAAGTACAATCATCACTGCACTGGTGCTTGTAATCACTCTGTGCACACAGTGAGAAATAGATATTCTGGAAAGGATCCTTGACTCTTCCACAATCTGTCCTCTGGACTGGTCACTAGCTCTGGATGGTGCTCTAACAATGGTCATTTCTCTCGGAGAACACACACACCAGCATCACAGCGCTGGGTTCCCATGGATGTCACTACTTCCCAACTGTCGATGATTGGGTCATAGCATTCAATGCTACTCAGCAGGGAATTGCCATCATATCTGAGTGGGGAAAAGCAAAAGAAAAGAAACGAGCATTATGTATCAGTCCTTCATTAGGGTTATCACTACAGATATCTCCTCCACCTAAATTGTCTCCACCCAAAAATGGGGTTTGGATCCCAGAGACTCTTGCCCTGGATGCAGGATTCTACTCTGGTTTCTAAATTCTTACCCTGCAATTGCATAGAGTCTCCCCCGAAGCACTGTGGCCCCTACATAACATCGCGGAGTGGTCATACTAGTGACAGTTGTCCAGGAATCAGTGCGAATGTTGTATGCTTCAACTGAAGAAAGGTGGGCTGTGCCATCAAATCCCCCCACCACATAAATATGGTCATTCAGAAGGGCTACTCCAGCACCTGGGGAAAAAAAAGAGTATATTAGCCAAGTAATGTTATTGCGCCTAGGATTTGAATTCTAGAAACAAAACATGGTCATTAATGGCTAGCTGAGCTCTGGGGTAGGCAAGGCATATGGAAATGCCCTACACAGGCCTAGAAAAAATCTAGGGCAGTATAGGTTTTTACATCTCCAGCCCCCACCTCCACACCTTCTGTATAGGGACTGAACCTAAGCTCTCTACCACTAAGCTACATTCCCAGACCCTCTTCTTGATTTTTTTATTTTGAGGCAGGATCTTGCTAAATGGCTCCAAGTGGCTTTGAACTTGTGATCCTCTTGCCTCAACCTTTAGAGTTACTATGATTATAGCTATGCCTGGCTCATCTGTAAACTCTCTGACTAGGACTTAGAATGATAAAAGAAAATTTGAAATGGTTTTCTTCTTCACCTTCATTAAC